CCCACGCCTCATTTTGACGAAATCATCTCCTCGGCAGCATATCCTGAATCAGGGATCCTCACCCGCTTGACACATCTCGCACTCAAAGAATCTCAACCAAATTATTCTTATAAAACGTCAGGTACACCCCTGATCCGCCTGATTCCATTTCTCGAAATCCCTTCCTTGAGACATATTTATGTTACGCGGATTACCGAGCAAAACGAACAAGCTCTCCCTCGCAACTTCAACAGCAGAGTAACCCATATTGACTTCGAACAGTGCGATAAAACCATCACTCAATTACCGCAGCTGCTCGTGGGGTGTTCAGAGCTCGAATCCTTCACATGGACGCTTGAGGAGTCAACACACCACGGATTCGGGTACCCGCACAGCCCTGGCTTCCACTGGGAACCCAACCGCGCATATGATTCTCTTTACCAACTCCGCTCCACGCTGCGGCACCTTAGTATAACATCTCGCGTATGCGATGGCATCAGCTACCGTCATCACGATGTGGGGTATCCCCAGCCAGCATACTTCGGGTCCTTGTGTGACTTTCCTGTTCTAGAAACCCTAGAAATGCGGATGGTCAATCAAATGCCTTTCCAACCCGGCACCCAGGTCCCAGCTTTCCCTCTGTGGAAGACTCTCCCAAGTTCGCTGAAGTTCCTATCTATAGACGGTTGTCTTATGCAGACATCTAATATGCTGTGCGATGAGCTGGAGGACTTGGCAGTACATTGCCGGACCCAACTCCCTCAGCTAGAAGAGGTGCACATTGCGTATTCCCACTATGAGAAGATAAATGGGCAGCAATGCTTAGCCTGTCAGGGCCAAGATTCTGTCATTTTGTACAAGAGAGTCGAGGCAACCCCAGCGATCGTTGCGCGGCTTCTGGCATTGGTAATCAAATTTGAAAAGCAAGGGGTAAGGTTCCGCGCCTTCGGTGAATTTAAGGACGAAAACTACATCGGTGGTGGTAACTAAGTATACTGTAGAGTTGCTGAACAGGGCTTGTGATAATGGTCAGTGTCTTAACTTCAATATCGCTTTGCTGTCTTTCAGGTTCACGTTTACTACAATTATATTATGGATCGGCTGTACTAAGCAGATGTGCATCAGTCTTTCATTTGAATTAGTCCAAATTAAAGTATCAGAAGGCAAAGTAGATAGTGATATGGATTATCAAGCAAGGCCCTCGAACATAAAACCTGATGTAATATTGAATGCATGTATTCGACTTGGCTGTATACAATAGTGTACTGTATGGAATAAAAGTTAGATACATAACTTTGCAATACTCCTGTGCATATAGACATATTGATGCAGTGGCGAGTCCAGGCTTCCTTCCCTCTTTTCATAGATCTCAATAACAATAAATCACATGCTATGCTCACCAGCAGAATCTCGATAGTGATACAGTGTTTTCGTGATATGCTTTTCTCTGTCATGGTATGTGTGTGTGTGTGTGTGTGTGTGTGATCTTCATACTATCCCCATGCCCTCAAACTCCAAGAGGTATATAAACTAGAACTTTGTAAAATCCAACTCGGACTGTTCACGACAAAACGCACTGCGCCCTCTCTTCAAAAACTTCCCGTAGCCCTTCTGACCTACAACACCCCCGTTATCCCGATCCCAGACAACCTCCCCACGCAGCAGGGTGTATCGCGGCCACTGGGTTATCATGTGCCCTTCATACGGTGTATAGTCCACATTATGATGTAAAGCGGAATTCGTGATAGGGAATGGTTCCAGAGCAGATGGATACCAGATCGTGAGATCCGCATCGGAGATACCCGGGATAATGGAGCCTTTCTGCGGATAAAGTCCGTACATTTTGGCCGGGTTGGTGCTCGCGACCTCAACGAACTTCTGGGGAGTGAGACGGTTGGAGTTCCAGACTAAAGGAAGACGTGTTTCGACTCCCGGGCAGCCGTTGGGGACATTTCGGAAGCGGCCTAGGGGTACGTCGTCCTTCATGGCTATTTTTTTCCCGTTGACATCGTCATCGAAGAAGTATGGGCTATGATCAGAGGAGAGGATCGTGAATGTTCCAATTTGCAGCCCTGTCCAGATACTTTCCAGGTCGTTCTCACCCTCGCGTGGTGGGGGTGAGCATATGCATTTGGCGCCCTCGAAGCCGAGCTTCTCGAGGTCTTTCCTGGTCAGAAACAAATACTGTGGACATGTCTCGGCAAATATAGGCCATCCGTTGGTCTGCGCGCCGCGAATCGTGTTGGCGGCTAGCGGCGAGGAAACGTGGACGATCAAGATTGGTGTTTGGATGAATTGGCTCAGGGATATGGCTCGGCTGGTAGCTTCACACTCCAGGATTTGAGGCCGCGAAGCGGCGTGATATTTCGGTTCAAGTAACTGGCGACTTTCGAGTTGCTCAGTCATCCAGGTGAGCATGTCGCCGTTTTCAGCATGGATAAGTACGGTTACTCCATCTTTGCGGCCCTGCATCAAGACATCCATAACCTGGCCGTCACGTAGCTGCATAGATTCGTAGGTCATGAATATTTTGGCTGAGGACACGCCGCGCTCGCGAAGAATGGAAAATTCGTCGAGAACCTCTCTGCTTGGGTTTGATATCATAAGGTGGAGAGAATAGTCACAGTACGCAGCATTATCGGCTTTCTTTTGCGCTGTTTCCAGCGCCTTGACTAAGGACGGATCAGACTTATCCTGAGGAGCAAATGCGATGATGCTCGTTGTGCCACCAGCAATAGCAGAGCGGCTCCCTGTCGTGAAAGTATCGGACGTTTGACCCTGGCCTCGCGGTTCGGCCAAGTGGACATGCGCATCAATGCCGCCTGGCTAATAGTGACCAGTCAGTGATTGAGACCATTACTGTACTTTCTGTATGAAGGAAACTTACCATAACATATGCACCCTCGGCGTCAATAACTCGAGAAGAGCGAGCTATGGCCAGGGACCGCGCAGGAGCAAGTATAGCAATCTTCCCATCTTTGATGCCAATATCATACCGACCAACATCAGCGGCCGTAACAACGGTGCCATCTAGCACAACACAGTCAAATGAAGTAGTGAGCATTCTAGGTGCCAGTGCAGCTGTTTCGCCTTAACAATCCTTTAGGAAGTGGACTTAGGTATTGAGATCGTGGAGAAGCAGAAAAATTCTCTTTTTAGGGCGCAGTGCTTCATCGTTCTAGGCAGGATGAACGCGACACCATCAACGAAACCGGCAAACGATTGCCAGACCTTCAACGTAAACCACACCACTCGAACTCGATAGATCTACCTATCTCCAGACTGATCATTAGGGGATGGGCTTACCCACTATCGACCCCGGTTTCTCGGGGCTTTAAAACACCTTTATAGGCATCCCAATGGTATCCAAAACCATGAAAGTTTATCGCCAGATCAAACCCCGAAATGAATCATGGGTGCTAGTGGCTGTCAGATCCTAGGTCGAAAGACTCCAGCGTACGTAGACAACCACTGTTGTCGGATAAACAAGTCTCCAGCCGAACAAAACAGGTTTATCGCCAGTTATAGATGGTATCCCCATAGTTTAGACCATCGTCATGTGGCGTCGTGGTGATTAAGGTTATCGCTTCGAGTACCATCAACCTTCTTGTGGATACAAGTACATTTGTACACACTCTGACATGGAACTGATCACCTAGTCATCTGAGCCTTGTAGGTCGGTATTATGTACTTTCAGCAAGCCTGCCGAGAAGCGAACCCACAGAGAAGGGCACAGCTAGCTTATCGACGCAAAGTATGACACGGCCGAGAAGGAACCTCTGGTGTTACAAGGGCTCTGATGGATACACGGTTCAAGAGGCAATTGTGCCATTTTCGGTAGCATCTCGCCTCTCCTGGCAGGCTAACTTCATGGTGCAATACCCCTCTCCACAAGCCCCAAATGGTTATCCTTCTTTCAGTCTCAATAGCACTGGGTATCAGATGACTTCTTTGGCTGGCTAAGCTTTAGGCAGTGCTATGCTCAGTTGGAGGCTTGCTGTGAGCTCGGCGCTTTGCAGTAGCTGCTCTTGTAGACCACATCTCTCACTTGATGCCGATGACCCGTTCATTCAGCTCGTAAGAGTGGGCCTTGGATGCTGGCTCAATGGCTTCAAATCGAGTAATGGTTCCACCTCAGCTCCTGCCTTTCGCGTATTTGACCCTTTGCCACTATAAGCTTATTTGGTATGCTTTCCGATATGGGAAGGGTTGGTTTTGTGCCAGGTATGTCCGGTAATATAGACCTAGCAAAATGAGGACATGATCCTGAGGACATGATCCACAGTTCTCTTCAAAGTAGAACATTACCCAATGAGCAGATTCTTATCCCCAAGACGCACTTACCTGGAGTGCTCCTAGGGGCCGCTGACATGGATCATAAAACGTAAACCTGATGGGCCATAGGTTGCATACCTATATCGATGAGATGAGATTGCACAGATGAAGAAGTGAAGAGGTGAAGAACGAGAAAGGAAAGCTCCCGTGACTCGTAGATGAATTCACGCGAAGTGTTCTGGCGTGGTCCCGCATACCCCAGATTCACACGGATAGACGCTTTTCCAAGCAGTACTTGGCCTCGTGTGCTTCTATGGCTCCTTTTTCTTGATCTTGGACTTATATTGCAAGTAATATCGCTCTTGGAGGGCTCGCAGCCATTGGCATGAAATGATGAAGGCCTAAATTTGTTAGGAGCGGCTACAAACCTAAGAAAATCAGCAGAGACAGAAATGTCCTTTCGGACAGAGAAATTCAGAAGGTCTTGGTTGTATAATGCATCTCAGTTCCGTCTTTGGGGCCAGATATACACTATGGTCGATAATACTCTTTGCTGCGTGCAATTTACATTTGATGGTGAAGGAGCATGAATGAAGATGTGGGCAAGGTAACTGGTTAGAAGTCTTCAGAAGCAATAGCCTAATGCTCGAAGATTCTGGGGTCAGTCTGATTCGGTTACATTGCTCTAGGAACGCTCTCGATCCTCTGTCCTGGTTTTCGTCCTTACTAGAGTTCCTTGTGAGCGACTATACAGGTAGAAGTACCACCTCATCATAGTCGTTGTCATGGCTATCCTCACTGCTGTCATCTCCGTCGCTCAGCATCTTAGATGCATACACTTTGTTCTCTTTGGAGACTAATGATTCAACTGGACGTTTCAGGGGGCTTCCCGGCCTCGGGCCTTCAATTAGCACTTCGTGACCAGAATTCTGTTCGGCTGATTCTCTGAGGACCTTCCTTGCTTCCGGTGGGAACTGTGGTGCACTGGTTACATGCGGTGATTGTTTGTTCTCGTCTGCGGGAAGACAGTCTGGACTTGTGGTCGATACTGCTGTATTTGGGGTGGCTTTGGGGGTCCAGATAACGGGGCTTGAAGCTTTTCCTGTTTCAGATAAGGTAGCGTACGTGCTGCCACTGCTTGACCTGGTTAGATTTTCTTTGCGTACTTCTGATGCTGAACTTTCGTGTCGTGGGTCAGGCCTCGATGAAAAGGCGGTTTGGGCTGCACGCCTGTCAGTCATGTTTCCATAAGGAAGCCCGGTCGCAGGAACAAAGGCTGCATTCTGGGGCCTTCTTGCGTCGAGTTTGTTGCTGTGGGTATTATAAAATGTTCCAAGAATTGGCCGTGGCCCATTGATGGAGAGACTCGTCAGAGGCATCTCCCAGGGTCTTGATACCAGCTTGGGCATTCTCCATCTCGTATCGCAAACATGAGCAGCTTTTTCCGCGCCAATGCTCAGGCGACAGGGCTCACTCCCCCGGGGGTCATAATACACTACCTTGTGTCTGGGTTGAGAATCTTTGTTGCATTGCCTGGGCTTGTTGAAACGGAATTTGTGTAGATACTTGTTCCTTTCAGAGTTAGGGCAGTATTTGGCCATTTCATACGCCTGTATCGTGCAATTATCATCCGGGTCAGGCACAGTAACATTTTGATCCCCTTGTGCTGAGAGACCTGCATCAAATTCTGCACTATCCACAAGGCGCTGCTGGGTCCTCTGGTCACCATCGAGACACGGCTCAATGTCATGGTCTTCAAGTGCCTGCCAAGCAGACGTACCATTACCCCATTCTCCTATATACTTGCAGTCGAGTCCACGCGTGCGCAGAAACCATTTGGCATCTAGCAGCTCACTTGCCTGGCATATTGAACTGTCCGAGTCGATCTGATTCTGTAAGTTCCCGGAAACTTGACGAGATATCCTGCTGAAGATACCTTGGTGTGGAACGCGGTTATGTCCACTTTTGGTATTGTCGACTCGCAGGAGTGCCCTCAGTTGCCTTTCTCTCATATCTTCCAACTGTATATCTTCCTGCTTAGCTTGCCGATTTCGTTGGCGAATATTCTGTTGGGTCTCCTCACGCTCCTCTACCGTCAGCCCCAGTAAATGGCATATGGTTGGCCAGTCAAATTCTTGGAGCATATTGTCAATGATCTCGACTTGAATTCGTGGGGAAAGGTCGCTCCATTTACAAAGACGGACTGGGGGTGCCGCTGAAGGAGTCTGTGCAAGGATAAGAGAAGTTTGTTAGACACTGGTGGTTAGGAAAATGGGAGAAGAATAGAATTTTGTTCATGGTCAACGTACCTCTATATTCTCCTCGTCAGGGGCATCCGTCATGGCTTCATCCATGTCGCTGTCCATTAGATATCTCTCGATCGACGACTCCCGACCAACATTAGCAAGAATAGTCATATTTCTCCTGTAGACCGGGTTAAAGTCCCCGTTGCTTAAGAAACAATTTTGGCTTGATGCTGGAGGTCTGGTCTGTACGACTGTAGCTGCTCCACGCACACGCTTGTTCTCGGTATTTTCGTCATCTTTCTCCTGCTCTCTGGAGCGCTTGGAGAGATCTGCCTCCTGCCCTTTCCAGCGTCCGTTTTCTTTATCGCGTAGGCTGGGGGGAGACGGATGATCTAGCGTAGGAAACGCTGCCGGAGGTAGGTTGGAATCAAAGGGAGTGCTATGAATGCAGTCTTGGGTTTGTGGCACACGTAAAGATCTTTGTGTACATGGGCTGTAGAACTGGTCTTGATTGAAGCGCTCTGGTGGGCGAATGCTGTTGCGAAGTTGCATGGTGCTCTTGGGTGGATAAGGAGTACACATTGCTAGAAATATGTAAAGTCACTGTGAAATAAAGATGATATGTTAATAGTCATCATTTCTGTATGTCAGTTCATGGTGTGGGGAGATGAAGGTGAAGGCAGAAGTAGTGGCATGGACAAGGCAGTGAATGCTATTTCATAGTTGACGGGCTGAAGGCGAGCCTTGATTCAGCTTCAGAGCAGATGCTCCAACTGCGTGGTGATGAATGTCTCTGGGAGAAGTCCGGAGAAAAAACCATATAAAAATGAGAAGAATGTATTGATGGGCCTTGCAAGTCTGTATTTGCTATTGGGCTTTGGTGTCATATGTTGACTTTACGAGGCGACAAAAGCACGGCGCCTTCCATCTCGGTACAGTATCTGATTATAAGCACATCATGCATGAAACGCACGAGGAAGGAGGCAAAATGGAAGACGGTTATTTCCCACTTTACTCTAACATGTCTCCTGTCGCTACCAAGCACAATCTATCTATTTCCTGTGACGACTACTCCCGGAGAATAGCATTGAAGATCAGTCAGTAGAACGATCCTGAAACGGTGCCAGCGGTTTTCTCTCCAGATCCCAAAATTCGATCTCATCAATATCCATGTCGTCGGTATCTCGGCTATTGGTTCGCTTCTTCAAGGAAGCCGATGTATCTAACATGCTGGCTCGACGCACTCTTTCGACATCCCGTTTGGCCACGATGATAGCTTCAAACGCCAATAGTAACTGCGACGCCGGCCCGTCCACGATTACGCTCAATCGCTGCGACTGGACCAGATCCAAGGCCTTCATTGGACTGATATTGAGCATCACCATCAGATAGGCCATCACCACTAAGGCCGACGAATTGCCTGTTTCACAGAATACAAGAACCTTCTTTCCGGTGCTCCGGCTCAGGCCGAGGGGAACCGAGGACGCGATGTGTTCATTGATGCCACGAATTACATCAGGAAGTTTGCTAATGAGATCTTGATTATTCTGATAATCAATAGAGGCCGTCATGATGTTAAGCTCGGCGGCTGTCTTGGCTCCAGAGAGAAGACCCGCCTTGGCCAATTGACTATGTCGGATGCCTAGGAGCAGGGTGACTCCCTCTTGATTGAGCCAACCTCTGTCCGCGAGGCAGCTCCAGGGTCCCAGGTATAGGAAGGGGAGTATTTGATGAACCTGTCTGCGCTTCTCGTATCTCCAGTCCACACTTGGGGAGGGGGTATCTTTTAGGGGTTTGATGTCGACCTTTTCGAAGAAGCCGGATGGAACAAACTCCCCCTCAGGGAAGTGATGCACAGCCGGGTTATCAGTGTCACTAGGGTTGGAGTCCCCACACCCGAGCGGCGACCATGTGTATACTGAAGGCTGTGTGTTGAATCTCCTCGAGCTGTACTCCTGAGTTGCAGTGTATTGGGCGTTGGCGCTTTGGGACATGGGAAGCTCCGCCGGATGGTATGATTGAGCCATTATTTTCGCGGGGGCTTACGTGCACAGCACAGCCCAATTTCTTTTTTGGAGTTTGCCAGGGAAACAAATGCTTGAGGTTGTGAAGTGAGTCGGGGAGAGGAGGAGGAGACCGTCCCTTATAAAGCGGGACTGGGGTCAAGTTCAAGTGAATTGGGTCTAGTCATTAGGAGATTGGGGGGGGAGTCTATTCCAACCATTGTGGGCCATCTTGTCATGTGTTTGTCTTGTTTCTCTTTCACTCTTATTCATTGTCAGATGGGTTTCTTTCTTATTTCTTTGTAGGCTGCCGAGAACAGTGCATTTTCTTTGCTCACAATCTCGTATTATCGGATAATACCAGCTTGCCAGAAGGGGCATAGTTCTCGGACAGGTTCATCCTTGGTTCACTCCGCCGTGGTTTGTTCCCGACTCGTCCGGCGTTTGTTGCTTCTCAACGGATCCCTATGCCAGAGATAGCGATGCTTTAAGCGGCCGTCAACTCGTTCGGTCCTGTAACTACATGGATGTCTCCGACTGGACGATTTCTGAGCTCTTCTGTGAGGCTTAATGTACCTAATACTATGTTCCTTTGCTGCCTTATGTTCCCGTGTCATCCATAAGCGGCCTGAGTGTTGGGAGGGTGGTGACAACCTGTGGGTCGATAGTAGCCTTTTCCACTTTGCGATTGGTGTACCTTATAGGTCGCTGGTGATAAGGAGGGTGCTGTGCAGTCGACTGGTACTTATATACCACACGACCGGGCTCTTGTGTGGGCACTGAGCACGGAAGATATGACTACTACCCGTTTTTGCTTCACGGTCGGCGCGTTCTAGCCGACTACTTGCCCCAGCGAACATTGAGGATGCTGGGTTTGATCTTAGTGATATGACAGACTGGTCTGGGACTGATCTACAGTGGCTGGATTACAACTAGAGCGCTCTAGTAGTACCACCACGAGGTTGTCACTTGGGGGGTCTCCTGGGGTTGTTCCGGGTTCAAGATTCTTGTGTGCGACTTACCCACGGGCTGCTCCGTTGTTTGAATCCAATGATCGTGGGTGGTACTGGTGCCGCTAATATGTTCATTGTCGTGTCATTCGGTGGGAGCCATTGACGGGACATTTCATCGGAGGATGTAGTCCATATATATAACCTAACCGTGCACCAGAAACTCTCTTGAAACGGCCCCCCCCGAACATGTCCCGATGAAGTAGTAGCACATTTCTTCAATCAAGCTGGAATTGGAGGCCACTAAAGTGGCTCAGTAGCAATCAATGCTACTTGGTCCAAATTTTCGGTGATTAGAATCATCGTGGTCTGGTACAACCTCCACTTTGTACACCCGCACCATCGAACACGAAATTTGGGAAGGCTACCCCCAGCCTTTCATTCCTAACATAATGCCAGAAATGTGACAAAAACAGCATCACAAGTCAGTGTGGCCGAGTGGTTAAGGCGATAGACTAGAAATCTATTGGGTTCGCCCGCACAGGTTCGAGTCCTGTCGCTGACGATCTTTTTGTTTTCTTTTTTTTTTGGATCCCTTTCCCTTACCCAGCCACTTCCTGTGGGAGTGGATCCAGCATCCAGCGGGTAACTGACACCGCAGAAGTCGAACTGCAGAGCCAGGACTGCCACTTCGGCATACTGACAAAGTTCTTTTACATAACGTAATCGGACAACGAAGCGGCGCGACAACGAGCCGGCGCGGCGATCCCCAATGCTTCAAACAAGCCACCATTCTGCCTACCATATTGCAATGATCGCTTTAAATTGAAGTAATTAAATGCTATATAAACAACTTATATTCAAGCAAACTAGGCGTTGACTTTATCTAGATATTTGAGGCGATTATGGCCTTCCTTATTGTAGTTATTATAGTATAATGGCTGGTATTAAGTGTGTTTTGTTATCTATATAGCCTCAACATCCTTTTTCTGAGTAATATGACATGCAGTAGAGCTATTTAATATATCTTTTTTTTATAAAAAGTATTTCGAGGCCTTCTTCTTATTTTTTTTATATTAATTTATTATATGAAGTTAATCTAATTCCTGTTAAAGTAGTATAATATTCTGTATTATTATTTCTATACCTTTATAGACCTTTTCGAGTGCTTGATCAGTAATAAGCAAGGATAATCCAGTTTCCTATAATATTTTAATCTCTATTTTTTAATAATTCAGTTGATAAAGAGTCAAAGGCATTTTACTGAGATATATAAATTAATTAGATAATAATATTAAAAATAATAGAGGTGTTTAATTTAAATTTTTAAGATATTAAAGTATTCTTTAAGAATTATACAGAGAAAGCTCTGTTATAGTAAAATCTTATTTTATATTTGCTGTATTAAATACTTTTAAATATATCTTTTTAAAATAATATAGAAAGTCTTTTTTCTGTATATAATAGATACCTTGATTAGCTGTATCTTTAATTTAACGGCCGTACAGGGTCTTTAACAGTGCAAAATAAGTAATATTAAGTAGTTAAAGTTTATGGGAAGAATAAGACAGTATATATAAAGAAATAATTAATCTTTTTTTATAATATTAATTAAATTTAACAGTTAAATGGCTTCCATGGCTATCAAGGATAAGGAGATAATACTGACTTATTATTTTTAAAATTATATAGATATCAAAGTATTAAAACCAGTTAAATATAAGTTTATTATTTATCTATCTGTTATTATTAATACTGATTTATTAATTATAAAAAATAGTTTTAAACTACTTCTCTTGCTATATCTTGTTTATAAAGATAATCTGTAGAGGTAGTACACTTCCTCCAGTATTAATTATAATAATTACAGTAATTTATTCATGATTTCCAGGTTATATAAATCTTGTATTTATTTAATAAAATTCAGTACTGCAGATAACCTTTACAGTTGAAGCTATTCCTATTTAAAAACCCGTTTTGTCTATATTATAAGTATTGTGTTCAAGAATGCCATATTTTTATATAATATTCTGTACTAATCTGAACTATTAACTTATAACTTCGACATTCTCGCATTTTGCACGTTGATAATCAAAACATTGAGTATATTTAGACTTCAATTCAGCCTGGTAATGTTGAATAAATTAATTGACCCAGCATTTACTAATAAAAGTATTATTTTTTAACTTTAATTTTGATGCTAATATAATCTCTGCAAGATATTATACTTTGGTAATAATAAGTAAATAACTTTGTGAATCTAATTCAAAGATCCTGCGCTTTAATATTAATTTATTATTATTAGATAGCTTCCTCAAATTTGCCTCTATTTTAATGCGAGGTTTAACCCTATTTAAATAATTTTTCAAAGTGCTTATCTTAATATTAAATACTGCGGCACACGCCTTCTTAGTAGCAAATTAACCGCGATTAAAAATCTTATAGGCAAGTACTAGCCTCCTATCTTAAGAAAGACCCTCTATGTGTTTGAATAGCATCAATTTTGACCGAATTAAGCAAGGTTGAATATCGCGTGTTGTGTGGAGGTTCGAAGCGGTGAGGGCGCGCCGGCTCGTTGTCGCGCCGCTTCGTTGTCCGATTACGTTATAGACGCCTCGATACCTGCCGGAGAATTGCGCCATTCATTCATGACTGTCACTGTTCTTAACCCAGCCTCAGAAAAGTGTACACTGGATTCGGTAAATGACCCCAACCTTGCCTCTGAGGACGCTCATATTGCGCCTGGTATTGCTAGGAACTATAGCATGCGAGTCCAAGACGTGCGACCTGTAGACATAAGGGCACACAGTGTCTGACCACAAGTATGTACCATAATAACGGTCTCCAAAACAAGCAAGAGTCAGTGTGGCCGAGTGGTTAAGGCGATAGACTAGAAATCTATTGGGTTCGCCCGCACAGGTTCGAGTCCTGTCGCTGACGTTTCTTTTTTGTTCTTTTTATTTGTTCCTATCATGTATGTCTCCATTCAGATCCGTACCTGCCGGCACAGCAACATCGAGTCATTGTTTTGCCATTGCAGAAGAATGCCCGTGACCCATTCTTCCAGCAAGTAGTGCGCCAAGTCACTCACACCAGGGGAGACCGTACTGATCGAATGAAGCATGCCAGATCAAACAGTCTATCCGTGCTGACTCGTTTCATTGCCAGCCTTGACTCGTATGCCGAACTAGAGAGTCCTTTTACGGGGGAGTTTCTTCTCAACTCTCTTGGTAACCCGGGACAGGCAAGGTAATGCCGGAGAATTCGACTCGAACATAGTGTGCATCTCTTGCGTGTGACCTTGGGACATTGCACACCAAGCCCTGCCTGATTGTCAGGGAGTGGATCGAAGTCCCAAAGGATGAATGCAGTATTCAATGCCTTGAGCCAACAGATTATGGGCTACTACCCTCGAGTAAATACCGCTCGAACACTATCGTGCCTCTCTACCGCGAATACGGCATGGATACCGACCATCGTAAGCCAGAATATGATTTCAGTTTCCCTCAGAAATCTGACTTTGTCAATCATGGGTGTAGAAGTCTGCTTTGCCAGCCCTGTAGATGATGCAATCCCTATAATCCAGTTCAATGGCCTGAGATAGAGCAACCGGTGCAAGGTAACCTACCCAATACGTATGCGAAAACGATCCAATAGAATTCGCAGTGAGCCAATAGTTCTGAGAGAAACGGGTGATCCATAGGTTTTGTTTGTCGACTCACCATCAGTTCAACAATATGTCAACCCCAAGATCTAGAGCTGCAGGGTAACAGTGCCACCCAAAATCAGAAGGAGAGATACATACGGCAGGAACGCACGAAAAGCTGCTTCCGGTAGCACGCTGTGGGCAACGCTCGCACCTTCCCGGTCAGGGAGGGATGCCAACGGATCTTCCACATCTTGAACTCGTTCTTCCTCCTATGTCATTAGATGGTTTCTGAATTGGAGACATTCGGCGTTTTGGAGCAAACCAGAGCTTTTTATATCTAGTTTTTCACCTATCGAACAGGCATCGAACCCCAGCCCGAGATCAGCGTGCCAGACCAGCCCCCACGAGCACGGCCAGGAGTTACACATAAGATCGTCACAGGCGGCACAGGATGCGTATAGACATCATGATGAGGTGAATACAAAGCTTTTAACGCGTCCTTTCGACACGTCCCCATTGGACAGAAGCAAGAAGTGGATTTTCGCGATTGTTTCAACATCTCGCCCAGCTGAGGATCCTCATTGGCCTGCCAGATCATATCAGATTGATCTCACAGTTACTTCAATCTTCCGTGGGCCTGACGTCTAGCTCATCGTTATTCACCAGCCGGGCTCCCGCACTATTGACCTCACAGCATAGCGACCTACGAGGTCGCCATAGCCGAACTTCCGACCCAGGGTTCCTAAGAGAGTCGACCGAGCTTCCATCTAATTTGTGTTGAGCTGTGAGTTACAGTGACTCGTAGTATACTGGAAAATCTGCTCTGACGTTGAGCCTTAGAAGATAGGTCCGACGCTTGACCTCATGAGCTTGCCTATATCACGAATACAACAACATGAAAGCTGGATGAGCTAGCAGCTTCACAAAAAGATAGACTGCATACTGTGTGTCCTGCAGCTGGTCATATATGCAGGTAGCCAAAGCCGGTCATGTATGTAGGGCCAGCACGCATGAAAGGTGTATTCAATCCAGAGGCCATTGAAGTATCTCGTGCAAGCTTGATCGATTCAAAGTTGGCTCTTGCAAGGCGACACATACAGTTAGACTTCTCAGGGACGTTGCCATTATTGTTGATGGATTCGATATCGAAGAACCTGTGTTAACGCTCTCATTTCTATCTACGGTGAGCAAACGGCCCTGATCATAGCTGATTAACCACCAAAACGATTCATATGAACCTTACACATTACAAGATACCCCTGTCTATGCTGCAGCCAGAATTGGTCAATGTACTGCTTATCATGGCGCATCGTGCCGCTGGCAAGGTCTTTCTCCAAACAGAGAGTCAATGACCGAGATTTATGACAGCCAGAGTTTCCTCCTACCAAGACTGGACGACATTGCAGCTATATCTCGCCTGACATATCTAAAAAGCCAATCCAGTGATCACCATGGTACACACACTGATAAGTGCGCAGAGAGCAAAAAGAAGGGCAAATGAATGATGTGGTGGAGAATACTGAATCGTTAATTCCCCAGCCGAATTCAAAGAAAGCAAAAAACGTCAGCGACAGGACTCGAACCTGTGCGGGCGAACCCAATAGATTTCTAGTCTATCGCCTTAACCACTCGGCCACACTGACTAATTGATATAATGTGGCTCAATTTTAGGAAATAGGAAGCAGCAACAAATCATCCCACACATTGCTCAGCTACCTACTGTACTTACTGCGGATGCTGCCTGCACCACCAGGCATTCAACTTTCGAATATCAACCTCCTTCTCAGCATCGTTATCACATGCGATCGATGCAACCTAACACATCATCTTTTTCTTACAACGACCTCTCAGCTCCACCACTAAGCACTACCCAGTTTAGTCCCAACAGATACCACCTCAGGATCCCTACGCGCTACCACGACGCCTACCCATAACAGTACACATCCGCCGAACACGGCGCAACTTTCATAAGCCATCAATTCTCCTACCCCTCTCCACAACACATCTGTCTCATTCTACGGCTGTGGATCCTCAAACAAAGCTAGGTGTACACTCGTCACCCAGCACCAACACCGCAACACATCTCATCCTCCATCGACCCGACGGAGTATATCCAGGGCATGCATACAGCCAATCACCAGTAAGCAATCTATACCCTCACCACAGCCGAAGTAGATCCCTAAGCTAGCTCCAACATCCTACCCATCAGGTTCAGACATACTATCCTCGTCTACAAGGCTAACATAACAACCGACCAACCAACAACAGCCCAGCAAATCAACAAGCACATGCAATCCGAGCTACCACCCCTGAGTCATATCAGATAAGCACCCACCCAAGTACGCAATAAAAAAGCTAGTCCAGTAGTAGATATCTACCGAGAGTGAGTGCTTACTACCGAGACGCCAGAAGTATGAGTCACGGAAAGAGTCACGCGCAGTAATCTAGACCGGGTAGTGTCTGTGTCCTTCCTGGAAGGGAGCCACGTTGGCCTGGCTGGACCTTATGTACTATGTAAGGGGGGAAGAGGAAGTGAGTGGGTGACGACGACGACTGACTACTAAGTGAGACTCACTATGGGGCTTGCTTGTTACCCGGACTACTGCTGTACATGGCTAATTGGCTGGTCACTAGGTAGGTGGTGAGAAGGATGGAAGGAAGGAAGGATGATCGTGAGGTATGTGTCATACTATAGTATCATAAATGGGTGAGTAATTGAGTGCTTACTAGCCTTGTTGTGGTGTTCTGCTTGGTAATCATGGAGACGGAAGTGGGATGGATGAAAGGATGAAAGATAGTGAGTGGTGAGTGAGGCTGGTAGCCTTGGATGCGAGGCCAACAGATGCCTGCTTGCCTGCCTACCTGCCTGCCTGACTAGTCTAGATAGAGGAGATCATGATCGATGCAGAGCCGAGGACTACTACCAGACTAGTATGTATCCAGGGATGTACGTGCCAGTCATTATTACAATTATCGATACGAAAGGAGCCCCTTGGCGGCATCCAGGTTGTCACGAAGACAAATAGATGATTCACTAGGTAGTTAAGATGACATACATCTTTTATGATTTCACCCCACTGACGTGGTGGAGGGACTACGCATCCCCAGGATCGACAGCTACGTATGCATCGGAGGATTTTTAAAGGCACAAGTGAAGAGAGACAAGATTATGGAAAAGGTCAAGAGGCAACAACAAAAGAAACGGGGTGAAAAACGCCTGGGTATATTTCAGGGAATAATAGATAATGAGGAAATAGAGAGAGATAAAAAAAAAAAGTAAAGGGAAAGAGATGAAAGGGGGGAGGATAGGAACCATAAGGATAAATCAGAATAAGAAAAAAAAAAACACCACCTGGTCTGTATCAACGACCTCGAGGAAACGCCATCATCTTCAGAGCTGCCTGATCTTTATCCATGCGTTCCGAGATGTAGACCGACCCATATGAACCACCCGTAGATGTTGTAGACAGATTCGCGAAAACAACCAAGGCCCCGTAATTTGCATAGTTTTAACGCCCTTAGAATGCAAATTTCATACAACAAACCATGAAAATGAAGTGAGATGACTCTGAACCAAAAAGTAGAAAGGGGGGAGGAAGGGAAAGCGAAAGGGAAAGAGCCCAAGTAGCACGAAACAGGGAAACGCAACAAATGATAAGAAAGAGAAAGAGCGATCAAATCAATACCACTCGTTGAAATCTTGATCCAGCGCATCCAGCTAGCCCTGTGACGTCGCGGTCTGAGGAATAGCCTGCTGTAGTCCAGCCACGATGCGTTCCAACTCCTCCAGTCGGCGATCCTTCTCTTGGACCTCACGACGCAGCCTCTTCAGTTCATTGCGAAGATCCACCCCGTTCTCTTCCTCCTCGGGAAGCTCGAGGGTGGCCGGATCATCTCCGAGAGATTCGCGTTTCCTCTTCAAGGCTGCGGATGCTGTCGCAAGAGACGTGGTGCCATCCAGATCGGGCGACGGGGCGATGGGCAGCTCGGACGCATGTCCATTCTCAGTGTGCATGTGGCGGCGGCGAAGGTGCTCCTTCAAGTTTTCTTGACGCGTAAATCCGTTCCCTGTGCTGCGATTGCAGTCGGCGTACGGACACATCAAGGGTTTCTTGGCATTGATGTTCTTCTTATGCACCTCGCGCTGATGCCTCAGCAGACCGCCAGAGTATGTAAAACCTTGAATCTTGTCGCAGCCGGGTTCCATGCACTTGTACGGGCGGTCGTGTTTGTCCATGTGTTTGCTGTGAAGTGGCAAACCGTTAGCTTTGTCTTGAATCGGAGATTTTGTAGATTTGTCTTTTCTTAATCATCATCACCATCATGAGGGAAAAAACTTACTTCCATTCGCACGGACGGCGAAATGTTGGAGGCGAGTGCTGGCACTCGGGATGGTCGCAGTAGATTTGACCGGCAGTGTTCTTGGGCGGATCCCGCGCTCTTCTCACCGACAGTCGCGGGCGCGTCCCTTCCATGAAGTTCGGAGACAGCTGGTCGTTCATCTTGGGAGCTGGAGAAAGCGAGTCTTGGACAGTGACGAGAACAGAGGTAGGTCCACCGGGACCTTCACTTCGTGGACTAGGATAATCAGAGCCGTCACCCATAGCGTAGCTACAACCCCGCCGTCAATTGCGAAGGGGGTTGGCCCTGGTGGCGTTCGGAAAACGAGGCGGAGAATAGAAGATAGGTAGACGGTGGTAAAAATGAAGAGAGTTTAAGTGCAGCGGGTGAGAAGATGGGAGGAAAAGGGAGTTGATATTAGCTTGATTGTCGAGCTCAATGCGCGTCGGGTGGCACTGGGCGATGGATGGTTGTTTGCTCAGTTCGGAAGGACGGATTGCCAATTTTCTCAGGACGGAAAACAAGGCATCTAGCGACACGCGCACGTGACAACAGTTGGTGGCCAGTTGGGTAATGTCTTGGCGGATCCGCCACTCGAAAAGGGAAGGTCGAAATTGGTGTTGGGGAAGGAGCAATGTATCTTGTTTTAATAATGAAGAGGGAGAAAGGCAAGAGAGATAAGTAGTTCAATCTTTGGTTAGTACTTATATGACCTTAATAATAATCCCAGTTACTTGGTGCATAGTAGAATCCAACAACAACAGCAACAGCAGCAGCAACACCCGTCTAATTTATTTTTAAATAACCCAGATCAAGACTCTTGTAAGGATACTCAAGTATCATGCCTGCACACGTGGTGTGATCGGAGACAACTACGCCGGATTTGTGTTTTGTATGTATCAGTCAAGCCTTGATGGGCGCCGAATCATGATGGATTGACTGCGGCATGGATGGCAAACTTTGTGAAGGGGTCTTTTAGGCTGCGACTAGTGAGTCATGCTAGGCAGGCAACCAAGATAACTTACAGTAACTCCTTCCTGTGCTATTACTTGACTTCTTTTCTTTGCTCAGCTTCGACAAGGCCATCCGCCACAATTTCCACATCCCCAGTCGGGTTGCATGCCTCATTGCTGCCTGCCAATCAGGGCCCTCCAGCACGTGGTCTGCCTTTTTCCACTCTGAGTCCCCCAGCCACATTGCCGGTTTCGGTCAGTTTACTGTGGCGTCTCGGGAGTCATGGGATCTGCCTTACAAACCAACTCGGACATGCCGGTTGTTGCTGTGTTGGGGGGGAATTTCTATTATTTTTGGTTAATTAATATTCTTCGAGTTTCTATTGTATTTCCATACATCACAAATTAGAGCGTAGTATACTCTCTATCACTCCTGCGTGGCAGGTTAAAGGAAAAAGAGGTGAGGTATCTACGTAGTTAAGGTGATAGGTACCTTAGGTACCCAGCAACCAGCATAACTCCGACAGCGGTTCTTGCCCAATCCCATGCCCGGCGTTCCGTCAGGCAAAGATCCCACTTAAGCGCTCTGAGCCCAAGGCAAATAAAAACCAACCCCCCAACACGAGGCAATAATATGAGAGAGAAAAAAAAAAAAAAAAAAAAAAAGAAAAAGTAAAAGCTGAGACGCTTGACTTGCCTTTCACGCTAATGTCCAAAAAAGCAAAATAGAAAAAGGAAAGACAAAAGAATAGTTCTACTGCTTACTTACTGACAGGGTTTGTTTGTAACAATGTATGCCAACCCTGAGCCACCCACTCAGACGGGATCTTCCCACGTCTGACAGGCCAGAGATTCATACCTACTAACCAGTAGTAATGCTTGAGCTGCATATACTTTTGATCGAATAGATAGATCTTTCTCTCATCCTCACTCTTTGATCCCTGTTTGTAACAATCGCCCTTCCCGTGTCATATCTGCCGCCCATCCCTTGCATAGGCGACAATTCACGCCCAAAAAGTAAACTATGCCTGGACAGGGCGAATCGCTCCCTGCCTCGTTTAGATTGCCAGCAAACGAAAACTACTAACCTAGTTAGCCGGCGTGCATTTCCCTCAAGCTAATACTGTTTGACATGGTTGTTAATTGTTAATCGTTAATTGGTGTTGGTGTTGGTTATTGTTGATGTTGTTGCCTGCAAAGCACGGCCACAATCGCAATCCACAAGAAAAGTAACTTAATCATCTACGTCAACGTCCTGATGGGGGTGATTGTCAGGAAACCAAATCCTTCGATATCAGATCATCGTAGGCATCTTCATTCTCAAAAATAGCATCATCAGAGACGTCAAGGTGGGGGAAGGGTTACGGATCCCCTTATTGTGAGAGGACGGATCTTCCCCAGCCAGTGGCGCAGCGCCCGCCACGATGTATGCAAGACCATCCTTGTCACTCCGAGAGAGATCTGCATGGACCAGTAGTTAAAGCATCCTTCAGTGATCTTGTTACCCCCCTCTTTCTCTCTTATTCCTTCTTCTCCACACACAAGACGGCCGGTGTCTCCGTGGATGATGAGGAATGTGTGTGTGTGTGTGTGTGTGTGTGTGTGTGTGTGTGTGTGTGTGTGTGGCTTAGAGGTCTTCCTTCAGTGGAATGAGTAGTGCCTAAATGCATCGCCTGCAGGTAGCTGGCTCTAATTCGCGTGTGCTGCTCCTGTCAGGACCACTAGGTGAAGACTTAATGCAGGTTACTCTCGGTTATTCACGACAAGATCGTGGCGGAGTCTTCTATCGAACGTGCGGATCATTCTGCGAAGGTGGAACCGGCGGCCGTATCCGCCGTCATCAGGTTACGAATAACTACCGGACAGCTGCTAAGGATGCGAGATATGCGGATGCCTACTCATCCTGCAGACGATCGTTATCTTTGCTCGCATACTGAGACGTATCATGGTGAAGCTACGAGGCGGTGTGGTGAATGAACGACAGTAGTTGGATTGAGATGCGGGACTAAACGGCTCATTCGAGTCGACAATCGGCATTGCCATGGCTCTCCAAGTCCGAGACATACGCGTAAACAGACACGATGGGCAGGCAGTGTTTGGAAAACCATCCTCCTGGTCCCATTTGCCGAGATTCAGAGAGAATCACTGCCTCGCCATAGCAATGCCACAAACACGCGAGGAGGAAAGCAAGTAATGGGAAAGAAAAACAAAACAAAAAATAGACAGTCATAGGATTTTAAAATAGTATCGGGTAAACCAGGATTGGCAACAAATAGAAATGTGTAGCATCATCGGTGATGAGCCACCCTCTTCCAGCTGTCCGCGAGAATGCTAGGACTCACCAGCTTCCTCGAATCAAGTCGAACCCGAGTGCAGCCGTAAGCCAGAAAGATTGCCTTGACATACCACTGACTCTTTTCCCAATGGAAATAGTCGATGGCGACAAACCATATCGATAATGGGCCATGTACACGGAATAGTCGCTGCCGTTGCATGCCATGTCGCAGAGCGTTCTATATTGTCATCTGACGGGAGAGTCACTTGTCTAGATGACACGTAACCGTACGTAGCTCCTGTAGACTGGCATCTTTCCATATGGATAAAAGCAATGCGAAAGAATCCGAGGAATGCCTCATTTCCCACCAGATGGTTGAGGGGTGGCTCTCGCCAACGCTTCCCTGAATCTTACAGATGTCTCACGCCTAACGGTGACATGGATGACGTCGAGCAGAATCCCCAGGAATCAATTCAGTTGGAGTAACCTGATGATTCGATGGACGGTTGTCCCCCGAGCTTCGGGAAAGGCTGCAAGCTACTGGGCCCGCTCTAAACCGAAAAGGGTACGAGTGCTCCCCAATCAATCATAGTTGCCCCCAACCTGACTGGCAAATGCAGTCGAAACACTGCGCGTATCATCGTCATCGTGAATGTGGCCTGGCACACCACGGGTGACACGAATGCTAGCAGAGCTTCCGCCGAAAATGCTGCCGTTATCGGGAACGCCGGGCTTGTAAGGCTCCCGGCCTCCGGATTCCACGTAGCGCTTCAGCCGATCAGACTGACTGAGACTGGGCTGCTTGCCCATATCGTTGATGCTCAAGCCAGCAAGGCTGACACCGCCTTGGTCGACGCTCTTCCCGTCAATGATGCTTCCAGTAACATCAGACTCGGTGGCCGCCACAGATTCTCCGGCAATGCTAGGTGCTCCCTTCATTCGGTTACCATTGGCCCGACGGGCTCCGGGAAGAGCGGGCCACGAGTCCGCGAAGTTTTGGAACATGGGAGGATATCCAGAAGGAATGCCAACCCCACCCAGGGCAGATGAGTGGACGGAAGAGACATCATCGGGGATGTAACCAACCACGGAGCCGGTGTCATGGAAATCATTGCGGTGACCGTTCCTTCCATTCATCAACCCGCTCGTAACGTTAGAGGCATGGTTGTACGCCATCTGGAACCGTTGAGGACCCCGATATGCCTGCTTGGGTCGGCTGAACTGAATCAGAGACTCTTGCAGGTTAGACAAGGGTCCCTCAACCAGACAGTGCCTTTCCTTGAAATGCTGCAGGAGACAGTTCCACAGAGGATGCTTCGACAAGACCTTAGGGTTTCCAAGAATGGCCAAGCCATACTTGGCACGAGTGAGAGCGACGTTGAGACGGCGAGGATCACTTAGGAAACCAATGCCCTGGTGGTCGTTGGACCGCACACAAGAGAGGATAATGAAGTCCTTCTCACGACCCTGGAAGGCATCGACTGAAGCCACTTCAATCTCCTTGTAGTGCTCCTTCTTGAAGGTGCCATTAGCTTGCATGGAGCTAACAATGTAGCTGCGCTGACCCTCATAAGGCGTGATGATACCAATATCCTGGGGCTGAACTCCAGCTTTGAAGAAGCGGGTGACAATTTTCTCCACGTTCGTCGCTTCAGTGCGGTTAAGGTAAGAGGTTCCGGAGGCCGAAATCTCCTCGTTACCCAGATTCGACCAGAACATCATAGGGTTATCGGCAATGGGCCAGGGGAAGTCGACATCACGGCGGAGACGCTCAAACGAAGAGATACCGTTCTGTAGAGAACCTTCATAAAACATGTTCGACGGGAACTCCGACAGGCATGGGTGCATACGGTACTGAACGTTCAGACGGATAGGGGAGCAGCCAAGAATGACGAGACGTTCAAAGAGTGACTGGTTGAGACCAGCCTTAGCTGCCTTCTTGTTCATGATAACAGGTCCCAGCTGTTGGTGATCACCGACAAGGACGACTTGCTTGCATCCAAGGACCAAGGGAATCATACACTCTGGTTCAGCCGACTGGGTCGATTCGTCAATCAAGACGGTACGGAACTTGAGTTTCGCCAGACGAGGATCACCAGCACCAACGCAAGTACAGCAGATAACGTCAGCGTTATTCAGGATCTCGCGCTCCGCTGAGCGAGTTAGTTGTTTCAGTCGCTTCTCATCTTGACTGGACAATTCTCCAAGCTCGGCCTTTAGCTGATTGAGCTTGATTAGTTCGATGTTGGTATCGTTGATGCGGACTTGCTCATGCAAGGACAAGAAGCCAACAGGCGATTCGACATCCTCTCGCGATTTAGCTGTCACACGCACTGTCTTCAGACCTGTTCGGTGGATACGCTCGCAAAGTTGGTCAACCGCAACGTTCGAGGGGGCGCACACCAACACCTGACCGCCGTTGATCTTCGCAAGGTGGTAGATGATCGTAGCAGAGGTGACAGTCTTTCCCGTTCCCGGAGGACCCTGAATCAAACTCAAAGGTCTCTGCAGCACGCTTTTCACAGCGTTGATCTGACTACCGTTGAGTTCAGGAAGTCCCGGAACGCTGAACTTCTTCGGCATTTGGGTCTTCATCGGCGCGGCGGCAACTTCGTGTCCGAGAAGGCGATGGAAAATGTAACCGGAGACACTCATCTCATCCACGGCAAATGTCTTCATGGCCAGCTGCATACGATCAAAGGATGTAGACTTCCAGACGTAGTCGGCCGTAAAATTGTGCGTGCACTCTGTAGGCACAGACTTATGATCACCCTTTGCCCGCAACTCGATCGTCACCTCATCAGACTGGTTGTTCGGAATCTTGATGACATATCCAACTCCTTCCCACTTGGGCCGCAGTTCACCGGTATACTTGAGGCGCATCTCATCTCCCACAGCCAGTTTAACATCGCCAAGTTCAAGCTTAGGCAGAATGAAGCTAGCCAGATGCTTGTTGTTAAGACCAAGGTCCCAGCGTACGATCAGTCCATCCTGCGACTGAGATTCCTTCAATTTGCGGTCATAGTCGGCCTCAATCTTGACCAGAGGCCCAAAGATGTTCTGATACTGGAAGGCATCATCATAACGCAGAAGCACGGGTGCTGGCTCATCGTCCACAGCCGTGGCCTTCTCCAAATCCGAGAAAGTCGCCTGAGAATTCTCCTTCCACATTTCTTCCAGCTTAGCAATCAACTGCGGACTGAGGTGGCGAGCGCGGAGCTGCTCCTGGTCGGACGGGGCAGCAACCAGCCATGGCAAGAACGAACGGTCTTCAATCAATGGTTGCCAGCGCGAAGTGTCCCAGTTCATATCTTTGGAAGATGGCATAGCGGCGCATGGTTGACGGCATAGCAACACGACAACCGTGTCAGACTTGGCTGGGATGAATCCAAGAAGGAAAACGTTCTTAGTCCCGCAATTGTAGCATTCCAATATGGTATCCCCAAGCGACGAGGCCGGATGCAACTGAACTTCCTTGTGGCGTGCCCGAACGAGGTGATTGACAATATGGGAGGACGAAGTGTTACCACGGGCGCTGCAAAACCACTTGCTGCAGGCCAGGCACTTGACTACGCTGCTCGGGTTATGAATGCCGCAATATCTGTGGAGGAGCTCCAAGTCAGTAAAGATGTAACAGAGCAAACGCTACAATATACTCACGCGCAAGCATGTGGCGGGAGTTCTTTCTCCTCCTCAAAATGACCCTGATGATTCTTGTTGTCGGCTGCCTGAGCACTAGTTGTGCTCTCTACATCGTCGTCTCCGGAAGCCTCATCGTCATCGTCATGTCTCCGCGGACGGAACTGGGAAGCTGCGTCGTCCATCTCCGGCATAATCCTGTCATCCCCGAGTGCCGCCATGATGATGTAGGAAAGTAATAAGATTCGATGCTAAACCCCCAGTAATCACTACCCAGGTCAAGGCAGAAAGAGCGAAATCAGCGGAAGCGAAAGCGAAAGACGCCCAGGACACCGGAAATTATGCGGTCATACACGAGTCTGAAATGTCACGCGAGGCGATTTAGAAGATGTAAAGAGTGTGGAGGACGAAACAGCCGTGACTGTCCGAGGACAGAGGCAGGGGATGTTGTGTTCTCTTTATCGGGAGTCACCAGTGTGCCACAGCAGAGGGGCAACTGTATATGAGATTAGAACTGGAATCCAGTCAGATTCACTTCAGTCCGTGGAAATTTATAGAGCCAACTGGTGAAGAGGAAGCCTTACCTTCAAGTCACAGAGCCCTGCCGCCACTGAAGAGCTTAACGCAAGTGAATTGGGGCGTGTCCTGGTAGGCAGGGAATGATGGACAATCCACAGGACCGGACGGTGGATGATTTGCGATCGGCTCAGGCCAAGGCATTCGGAGTCGTTGCCGCCAAATCCCACACAACTCCGGTGGCCAAGGCGGACCAGACCGGCAGTTGCCGCAAGAAAAAAAGTTGCCCGCCTTTTGCGTTCCAGACCCCATTCTGATCTACTCAATCATTTTTCATATATATACACACGATGTTGGTATGTCGCTGCTTGGAATTTCAAAAATAGCCATCCCCCGTGGTTCCAGACCTCTTATCGCTAACCACCGATTCTCCAGCGTCGTCAAGCCCGTGAGCGTCGCGATTATCTGTACCGGAGAGCTCTCACTCTCCGCGATGCCTCCATTGCTGAAAAGCGAGCCCAGCTGAAGGCGTCGCTGGCCTCCGGAAAACCCCTCGACCCCTCCATCGCTGAAGACAAATCGCTGCGCGAAGATTTCAAGTACGATGAATCCATCACCCCGGATAACCAGAACAAGGATGGCGACGTCGATCTCGATGATGAATATGCCCTCACCTCCGGCATCGCCGACCCCCGTCCTATCGTGACAACCTCTCGCTCCCCTTCTGTCCGTCTGGGCACATTCGCTAAGGAGGTCCGTCTGCTTCTTCCAACCTCCATTCGCTTGAACCGTGGTAATCTCGTTCTTCCGGACTTGGTTTCAAGCGCAACTGCCGCCGCGCTGACCGACATGATTCTCGTGCACGAACACCGTGGTACGCCCACTGCGATGACGATCTCTCACCTTCCCCATGGACCGACCGCTAGCTTCTCCCTGCATAACGTTGTTCTCCGTGCGGATATCCCCAATGCTGCTCGCGGAACTGTGTCGGAGAGCTACCCTCACCTCATCTTCGAAGGTTTCAAGACCAAGCTGGGTCTTCGTGTGGTTCAGATTCTGAAGCACTTGTTCCCCCCGCGTGAGACCGGCAAGGTTGGAAACCGTGTCGTCAGCTTCGTGAACAAGGAAGACAACATTGAGGTCCGTCATCACGTGTTCGTCAAGACCGGATATCGGGATGTTGAGCTGGCGGAAGTTGGTCCTCGTATGACCATGCGACTGTTCGAGATCCGCGGTGGAACCTTGGAGAAAGGTTCTAGTGGTGATGTTGAATGGGCTCTTACCCAGTACACCAGGACGAGCAAGAAGAAGGATTATCTGTGAGCCAGTTTTAGTCTTGAGGACACCTGTGGCTTTCAGTTGGCTGTGTATAATCATTTACGAAGGCAAAAAGAAAAGTCTGATTCGGCGCATGAGGTGTTCAGGAAGGAGCTCAAAGGGGCGGCATTTACATTTGGCATATCTGATCGCTATTGTATACCCAATTGAAAGAAATTTTTCCATTACTTCTCTCCTTTCTACCTAGAAATCATGTAGCCATTGAAGTATGATCGCAGTGGTAAAAGAGGTAACAGATTGAAAATCTAGTATACGGCTGAAATACTTGAAGGCTCAGCCTCAGCATCAATTAGGGCTAGCCGACCGGATATATTTGTCTCGGGGACAGCCCAGAGTCTCTATTTCCGGACCAGTCAAATCGTATACGATTATCGACTCGTCACTGCCCGGCCTCTCACCATTCCCACCCTGTGCCGACTCGTGCTCAATGCCCTGCAATGGTGCATCTAGATAATCTTGCTTAACAGTCACCGTGTCATCGCCGTCGGGTACATCTACAACTCCTCGAAGGAAATTTGACAACAGTCCAGCCCGATCCTCGTAGTAGAACCAATTCTGGTGAGGAGGCAGTAACTTGTCATCAGTATCTCTCTTACCCTCTGGTAAGACATCATCCAGTCGCTCTTCCCACTCCTTACCTGTTTTGTCCTTGAAAGTCTCCTTGAACGCCGTCACCGCGGAGTCACGATCTGCTTTCAGCGGAGTCACGAGTTGGCTCTGTTGCTTGCCAATACGGCTGTACTCGAGATGTGTAGCGTAGACATGAGGTTCTCTATTAGACTCGTATACCTACATACAATTTCTCAATTAGCCCTTCTCCTGATACATATACCTCATCTGTCTGGATAGAAATAAACGATCGCGACTCCACAGCATTATGACTAACTCACCCTGACCACATATCTCTCCTTGCAGCTTTTGCCCTGCATCAACCGGACAAGCGTAGCATTGTACGCCACCCTCGATTCTTCATCCGTATAGATGTGATACCTTGCTACATCACCAGCCTGGATCAGCCTTTGTAATGCGCAGGAACACGATAACCGATAACATACACACCGCAGTCCCGGCTTTTACGCCCTTTCTCTTCCTACCAAAAGGATCCTGATTCTTCAGCTTACCTAGTAGCCTCATGTCAGTCACCAAAAACTTGCATTATCTAGTCAAATCCGTTCGACTTCGCTTCGTTGGTTGAACTCCACCCCAACGATCAACAACTTGGCCCCAGAGCAAAGGAGCAAACGTACCTTTTTTCCTAGGCTCTTCTTTCTCCCTCTTCCTTATTCTCTCTTTCTCGTTTCCTCTCTTCTTCTTCTCGCTTTTGAGTATATTCGCAAGAAGATACTCCGTCTCACGCTTCGGTCTCCGATTCTTAGATAAGAGAGAGTCTTCCAGCCAGTCATAGGAGACTATTTTTATAGTTCGTAGTCGTTTAGCTTCCCGAACTAGTATCATTCGGTTTCGTTGTCAGAAATATATGCGTAATTTGAATCCAATAGGTTCAGAGTACCTACTTGCTTCAACATCATCCTTAAACGCTTCTTTGGTGGTGATCAAATGAGTGGTGTCTGTGCTGACATCCTTGGAATATTGGCCTCCGTTGGCCCGTATCCACTGGGGTATTTTGTCTGAGTTCCCATCGAATTTGCCGAATGAGCTGGCATGTATGTTTTTGAAGGTCTTGCCCATTTTGAAGGGGATTTAGAGAGGTAGAGTCTCTTCAGCTGACCGTATGAAGAGTACGTTGAATGAGTATGAGGGAACCTAAAGGTATATAGCAAGTATAAAGTTCGGAGAAGAATATAATAAGTAGTACTATTATTACGATACTATTCAATCAATGGCCGAATGAACGAACACTGGGAAGAGAAAAAGGTGATTATCTCGTCAAAAAAGAGTGAGGCTACTGTAAGCTGGCAAGAGTGTAGGATATCTGAAGTGGCCGTGTCATTGTTTGGCATCATGGCTATGGTAGATCCGAAAGGTATCAACAAAGTGAAAGGTAATAAGACTCAAAAAAATTCAAATGAAAAGACCAATGATGCCTAGTAATCCCATGCTTGGGGATATATAGAGACGATCCAAAGCTAAAGTCCCTTCACGGCCTGCACAAATGCGCGGATTTTGTTAAGGTCCTGAGCGCCGTCTGACTCTACGCCAGAACTGACATCTACGCCAACGACCTTGCGACCAGATTCGCCAAGATTCTGGACAATGCCAGCAACATTGGTAGGATCTAAACCACCCGCCAGGATAACGCGCAAACCACTGTCCTTATCGAGGACATTCTGAACGCGGGACTGGTCCAGCAACTCACCAGTTCCCCCAACGCCAGAATCTAGTAACGGCAGGGAGTGGTAAGCCCTGCGGGCGATCGCAGGCTCGTCAAGTCCAAACTTGCGGATGACAGGCACTGGGATCAATTTGGCCCATTCAAGCGGCTCAGATCCGTGAAGTTGTACGACATCAAGTCCCAACTTTTGTTGCTGACTCAATATATACTCAAGGGGCTGATTCTGGAAGACGCCCACGAGAAGCGCCCGGCTAGGATGACGCAGAATTTTGGCTGAGTGATCAAAGTACTCCACAGATGTCGCAGCGGGAGGTTCTTGACATGTGTGAAGAGTTTGACTAGCAGGTTTCGGGGTGGACCTGACCACTTGGGATATGCGGAGCGCCACGTCATCAGGGACGCATCGCGTTCGTCCTTGCACCATGATAATTCCGATTAGGTCTGCTCCAGCCTCGATCGCTGCTCGTGCAGCTTCTTCAGAGCGAGTGCCACAGATCTTTACCAACGGCGATCTCCGGGACTCGCTGGAAACGGATTGTGTGCTGCCTCCAAGAAGCTCAGCAATGAAAGCAGCCGTGTCTGCTGCCCGCATCAGGGCTTCTCCTACTAGGATAGCTTTGACACCCTCCTTCTTGTAAGCCTCCACATCCTTAGGCCCGGAGATCCCACTGAGAGCACACACGATGGTGCTGCTGGGCACCTGATCCATGAGGCGGCTAGTAGTGCCGAGATCAACCTCGAAGCTAGTGAGGTCCCTGTTGTTGACACCGATAACCTCGGCTCCAAGATCAACCGCAATCTTCATCTCTTCGGGTGTGTTCACTTCAACCAAAGGCTCCATGCCAAGGCTACGGGAGTAGTGATACAACCGAGTGAGGAGTTCAACACTAAGCATCTTCACAATGAGCAAGACTGTGTCGGCACCGGCCAAACGGGCCTCTAGAATCTGGTATTCGTCAAAAACAAATTCCTTCCGCAGGATGGCAGGCCTGTTCGTCAAGCCCTCCAGACTTTGACGAACGGCACGCAAGTCGTCAATGCTGCCTTTGAACCATTCAGGCTCTGTGAGCACAGAGATGACACTGGCACCGGCCTTCGCGTATTGCCTGGCCTGAGCAGGCGCGCATGCATTTTCGGCTATCATACCCTTAGAGGGAGAAGCACGCTTGATCTCTGCCATAAGGGACAGTGGGTACGGCGATTGTCTAAGACGAGCCGGAAATG